GGCTCAACCAGGGCTCACTGCATCCCCAACCTCCCGGGCTCAAGCAATCCTCTCACTTCAGACCTGGGAGTAACTGGGACCACAGGTATGCACCACCACCCCTGGATAACTTTTGTATTTTTTGTAGAGGTAGAGTTTTGCCATGTTTCCCAGGCTGGTCTTGAACTCCTAAGCTCAAAAGATCTGCCTACCTTGGGCTCCTAAAATGCTGGGATTACAGATATGAGCCACTGTGCCCAGCCCAATTACAAATTTCTTTTTCTTTCTCTGAGATCAAGTCTCGCTCTGTTGCCCGGCTGCAGTGCAGTGGCACAATCTTGGCTTAATGCAATCTCTGGCTCCCAGGTTGAATCGATTCTTGTGCCTCAGCCTCCTGAGTAGCTGGGAGGTCCTCCCAGCAGCAACCTGCAGCGGCTGAGCAGCAGCCACTTGGTTGGGCCCCATACCCTCTCCTGTGCCACAGTCCCCATCATGCCTTCCTGCCTCCTAGACTGAATGTGCTCCATCCAGACATAATGTTTGCTACCACCTGCCTCTGTGGTAACTTGGGTCTGTGACCCAAGCAATCCATGCTGTTTGTTTTCAATGTGAAAATCTTCCCATGTTCCTTTTCCTCCATGTTTTAAAGTACAGATATATAATTATTTTTGTACTATTCTAATGTACGCATATATAAAACTTGACATATCTCCTATTTTTTGGAACATTTAAATGGGGTTTCTAAATTTATACTACTTTAAATAACTCAGTGAACAGTGTTGCAGATAGAACTTTGTGAACTTGTCCAACTGTCTCCTGAGGATAACCTTTTCTAATTAAGTGGAACTCCCAGATCAAAGATACACACTAAATCTTCTGATTTGTACACTGTAACTGCCCACTATGCCCAATTACAGTGTGGGAGATACCAGCGAATCTGAAAATTACCTACCACCAGCTAGGTGCTATTTTCATTTCTATTTGTTTATTAGGGGTGGCTGTTAGCCAGCTCTACCAGGTTGTGGCCAGGTAGAAAAGCAAGCAGTTTTTTTTTTTTTTTGGAGACAGTCTTGCTCTGTCACCCAGGCTGCAGTGCAGTGGCATGAACATAGCTCACTGCAGCATTGACCTCCCAAGCTCAAATGATCCTCCTGCCTCAGCCTCCCGAGCAGCCATGACTATGGTTGAGCACCACCACATCCGGCTAATTTTTGATATTTTGTAAAGATGGAGGTCTCACTATGTTGCCCAGGCTGTTCCTAAACTCCTGGACCCAAGTGATGCTCCTTCCTTGGCCTCCCCAAGCACTGGGATTACAGAGGTGAGCCACTGCACCTGTCCAGCAAGCAGCTTTCCTCCCTACTTATACTTCTTTTTTAAAAAACTTCCTCTGTCCAAATTTTAGTTGAGGTGAACACAACATAGGGAGACTCCTCAGTATAACACCTTCCTCCGCAGACATCCTAGCTGGGCCTGTGATGGCTTCTCCTTCCTGTCTCGCTTGCAGTTGAGGAGGCAGGTCATTAAGTTCTGGCTGACAGGACTGAAGCAGAAGCGACCTTTGGCAGCTTCTGGAAGCCTAACATTCCTTAAGAGATAGGTAGGCAGGCTATTTAGCCCCACTCCAGCTCCTCTGCTGCTTGGGAATGTGGATTTATCAGCCAGAGCTCCACTGCAGACAAAGACTGCATGTGATCTTTGGCTATGCACTAGGGGTGGCAGAGCAGAATGCTGAAAGCAACTGGATCTCAGATAAGAGCTGCTAGCCCATTCCTGAGCTGTTTGCCTCTGTACTTAAGAGATGGAGAAAAAATACACTTCTGCTTTTTTAATTTTTCTGAGATGGAGTCTCGCTCTCTCTCTCAGGCTGGAGTGCAGTGGTGTAATCTCGGCTTACTGCAACCTCCACCTCCCAGGTTCAAGCGATTCTTCTGCTTCAGCCTCCTGAGTGGGTGGGAATACAGACACCTGGCACCATGCCCAGCTAATTTTTTGTATTTTCAGCAGAAATAAGATTTCGTCGTGTTGACCAGGCTGGTCTTGAACTCCTGGCTTCAAGTTATCTGCCCTCCTTGACCTCCCAAAGTGCTGGGATTACAGGCCTGAGCCACCATGTGTGCCCCGCCCCCTTTTTTTAAAAATTGAGACAGAGTCTCACACTGGCGCATAGGTTAGAGTACAACACCATGATCTCAGTTCATTGCAACCTTTGCCTCCCAGGTTCAAGCAATTCTCCTGCCTCAGCCTCCCGAGTAGCTGGGATTACAGGCATGCAACTACCATGCCTGGCTAGTTTTTGTACTTTTAGTAGAGACAGGGTTTCACCATATTGGTCAGGCTGGTCTTGAACTCCTGACCTCAGGTGATCCACCCATGTTGGCCTCCCAAAATGCTGGCATTATAGGCTTCAGACACCGTGCCCAGCCTTTTCTTTCTTTCTTTTTTTTTTTTTTTTTTCTATTATTGTGTTACTCTACACGGTTTGATTAGTGTATTAATGGCTTTATGGTAAGAAGTAGTTTCATTTTCAAAATAAGTCAGTTTTAAAAAATCCTACTGAATTTAAGATGTGAATTGCATTAACTTCTAGGTGACTTTGGACAGAGGTGATCTCTTTGTAATGCTGACTGTTCCCTTAGAGGACAGGCATGTGTCTCCACTACCCGGGCCTCCTTCACTCTTTCCAATGAAAGCTGAGAAATGCCACCTGTCACCAGGCCTGCCTCCTAGTGGTCTTGGTGCACTTGCTCCAAGTCAGCAGGGAGCTCACTGTCACATGCAATCACCTTTTTGCAGAGACGTCTTCTCGCATTATGACATCATTATTCTGGCCAGGTGCGCTGACACACGCCTGTAATCCCAGCACTTTGGGGGGCCGAGGGGGTGGATCACCTGAGGTCAGGAGTTTGAGACCAGCCTGGCCAACATGGTGAAACCCTGTCTCTACTAAAAATACAAAATGTATCCGGGTGTGGTGGCAGGCGCCTGTAATCCCAGCTACTCGGGAGGTTAAGGCAGGAGAATTGGGACTCATTTGAACCCAGGAGGCAGACGTTGCAGTGAGCTGAGATCATGCCACTGGACTCCGGCCTGGGTGACAAATAGAGACTCCATCTCAAAAATGACATCGTTATTCTTACAGATCAGCTCAGAACTGACTGTGCTTGTTTGTAGTTTAAAATAATTTTAAGAAGAATTGATCCTTATTTTATGAGACAGAGTCTTGCTTTGTCGCCCCGGCTGCAGTACAATCATGTGTCTTGGTTCACTGCAACCTCTGCTTCCCAGGCTCAAGTGGTTCTCCTGCCTCAGCCTGAGTAGCAGGGATTAGAGGCGCATGCCAACATGCCTGGTCAATTTTTGCACTTTTACTAGAGAAGGGGTTTCACCATGTTGGCCAGGCTGGTTTTGAACTCCTGACCTTAGGTGGTCCACCCACCTCAGCCTCCTAAAGTGCTGGGGTTATAGATGTGAGCCACCATGCCCAGCTACACACTTATTTTATATTTAGCCATCTTTCTATTGCTTCTAATAGCTTTCTAACAAAATTATTTTGTCTTTTTTCTAGGTTTAAAGCGGTAAGTTTGCCTTTCGTTTCTTGTTTTTTTTTTTTTTTTTGAGACAGTGTCTTGCTCTGTTGCCCAGGCTGGAGCACAGTAATACAATCTGAGCTCACTACAACCTCTGCCTCCCAGGTTCAAGCAATCTTCCTGTCTCAGTCTCCCTAGTAGTTGGGATTACAGGCCCATGCCACTATACCTGGCTAATTTTTTGTATTTTTAGTAGAGACAAGGTTTTGTCATGTTGGCCAGGCTGGTTTGGAACTCCTGACATCAGGTGATCTACCTGCATCGGCTTCCCAAAGTGTTGGGATTATAGGCATGAGCCACCACGCTCGGCCTTTCTTTTTCTTCTGAGACAGAGTCTTGCTCTGTTGCCCAGGTTGCAGTGCAGTGGCACGATCTTGGCTCACTGCGGCCTCTGCCTCCCTGGTTCAAGTGATTCTCGTACCTCAGCCTCCCGAGTAGCTAGGATTACAGGCATGTGCCACCATGCCTGGCTAATTTCTGTACTTTTAGTAGAGACGTGGTTTTGCCACGTTGGCTCGGCTGGTCTTGAACTCCTGACATCAGGTGATCCACCCACCTTGGCCTCCCAAAGTGTTGAGATTACAGGCGTGAGCCACCATGCGCAGCCAAGTTTGCCTTTCTTTACGTATAAAATACTTATAAAGTATTTAGAACAGTGTCTGACACATGGTAGGTGCCCAATAAACAATAGCTATGACTGTCTCCAGAATCTACTTATATCTTTTATTTTATTCTCTTAGCTAAGTACACTGACTAGCAGTTTCAGAACAAAGAAGTGCTGATTGATAGTGTTATACTTGACTTTATTTACTACTAAATGAATGCTAACAACTGTCTTGATATTCGGGGTCTAAAATATCCTTTGTAATATTGTATTTTTAAAGCTTAAATCAAGAACAAATATTTGATTTGATTTCTTAAATGTCTTTAAACCATCTACAGATACAATATCATGATTCATGTTAATAGAGTTGTTAATATTAAACTATCATTGCATTTCTGGAACCCTCACTTGGTCATGCTTTCTATTTGCTAATATTTTACTTAGATAATTTAAATCTATATTATAAGTGACTCAGTTTTCTTTGTTAGGGCTATCTGTCAGGCTTTGGAATCAGCATTATGCTGGCTTTGAACAGATAAATTTGTAAGTTTCCTTACTTTGGGATATTTCAGAGGGCATAGAAAAATTTTATTTCCTGAAGAATTAGAAGAAATTTGCCTATAAAACTGTTAGGGCATGCTGCTTTGAGCAGCATGAGAAGTAGCTGATAATTCCTTTCTTAAATTTTTTCTTTGGTTATCAGTCTATGTAATTTCCTATATCCTTCTCCTAAGTCTAATTTTGTTATGTATATACAAAATATTTGTCATAAAAATGTATTTCTATTTTTCCCTTATAAAGCAATAGGCAGCCATGTCTCTACTTACAGTGGGGTCAGTCCAGAGAGAGCATCGTGAACACTCCTGGCAGGGGGCTCCTGGGGAGCGGGGATGCTGGCAGAAATGGTCATATCCATTGATAGAAACTCGACAGAGGTAGCACATCTGGGCACCACAGCGGCAAGACATGCGGTTGCAGCCTTCAGATTTGATGAGGCCAGTCCCACACTTGTGGCATTTTCTAATGCGGGCAGCAGTCATTTTTTCTTCACTGAAATAAGAAAACATGACAGACAAAACATAAAGCACCCTGACATAGTGCCTAGTACTTGGCATTTAGAAAAGGACTGCTCTATTTGTTATAGTAATCCCTGTAGGTTCAAAATGGAGAGAAAAGGCTGGACATGGTAGTGCATGCCTGTAATCCCAGAACTTTGAGAGGCTAAAGCAGGAAGATCACTTGAGCTCAGGAGTTTGAGGCCAGTCTGGGCAACACTGTGAAACCCCGTCTCTATTAAAACAAAACAAAACATATATATATATATATATATATATATATATATATATATATATAAAAGAGAGAAAAAAACACAAGGTATAAGGGAGAGAAAAAAACTTTAGGAAGCTAAATTACATGTGATACATACACATATACATATTTTGAGATAAGGTCTTGCTATGTCACCCAGTCTGGAGTATAGTAGTGCAATCACTGTTCACTTGTAACCTCAAACTCCTGGGCTTAAGAATCTCCCACCTTAGTCTCCTGAACAGATGGGATTACAGGTACGTGCCACCATGCCTGATTAATTAAAAAACAAAACAAAACAAAACAACTTTATTTTTATTATTTTTTAAAGACATAGGGTCTTGTTATATATATTGTCCAGGCTGGTCTTGAACTGCTGGGTAAAAGCAATTCTCCTGCCTTGACCTCCAAAGGGGTGAGCCACTGTGCTGGCCCTTATTTATCTGTTATGCATATATAAAGCTGGGAAACTGAGAGCCAGTAAGAATGAACCTCAGTTACATACCTGATTTTTGAATACTTGGCTGAGGTGGGATAGACATGGGTGGGAACAGTCTATGACTTCTTCGCTGACAGAAGCCACTTCCCGTGTCAGAATCCCACACTCCCTGTGTCCAGGGCATGGGCATACACATGACTCAGCCCTGGCTCACAGGAAGCTTATAAGGAGACTACAACTTTTCAGAGCTATTTGAGCTGAGTGAGATGAAGGGCAGGTGACTAGTGCATAAACGACAGAACTTCTGTAGTGCTCTGCTCACAACTATGAAATAACAATTACCACCTTGAGCTGTGATTGTTTATGTGTCTGCCTTCTGCTGAGTGCTTTGAAGGCAAACGGCAGGAGCTGTGCTGCTGTACCCACCTGGCATGAGCAAGTATGGTCTTGAGAGGAACAACTCCAGAGGTATGCTCCTGAGACCAGGGTGGAGCACAAAGGACCCAAAAGCTGGACTGTTGGGAACCAGGGCTCTCCCATGGCTCTAAGCAACTGCTCATTCCTGCGAGTAGGCACTCAAGAGTGGGGAACTGGAAGAACTGCACCAGCCTAAAGCCAGTAACACTGAGAATAAGCTCTGATCTGTAGATTCTTCTAAGGCTGAGAACATGCAGCCTTCTTCCCACGGCTTCCAGTTCTCCTGCTAAGTAAGAGTACCCAGGTGAGTGTGGGGCAGGTGAGTGTCTTTCATGACTGATATTTAGAACACTGTGGCAGTATGTTCCTTAGAAGCCAGATCACATGTTTAAAAACAGAAAAATGCATTAAAAACTGTCTGCTATTTAGTTAGGTCTAATCTGTGAGTAGGCTAAAATGAAGGCAGGTCTACCTGCTAAATTCTCTTGAAAAGAACTTAAACCCAATTCAAGTCACAAAACAAATGAGTTCTAAGTTTTATTGAATAGAAAACACTAGCTGGCTGGGTATGGTGGCTCATGTCTGTAAACCTAGCACTTTGGGAGACCAAGGCATGTGAATCACTTGAGGTGGGGAATTTGAGACCAGCCTGACCAACATGGCAAAACCCTGTCTCTATTAAAAATACAAAAATTAGCTGTGCGTGGTGGTGCATACTTGTAATCCCAGCTACTTGAGAGCTTGAGGCAGGAGAATCACTTAAACCCAGGACATTTAAGCCGCAGCTGCAGTGAGCCGAGACCGTGTCACTGCACTCCAGCCTGGATAACAGAGTGAGACTCCATCTCAAAAAACATTGTCAAGGAGAGGAAATTTAGATAAAATGAATTTAGTACTGTTACCTAAACATGTCACCTTAGTAGTACATATGTTCATGATTTTAGTTACTCAGGAACTATGAAGACACTACTCAATGTTCTACGACTCAAGGTTCTAGGTTCTATATATATATTTTTTTTTTTTGAGAGTCTCACTCTGTTGCCCAGCCAGGAGTGAGTGCAGAGATTCCATCTCAGCTCACTGCAACCTTCACCTACGTGGTTCAAGAGATTCTCCCACCAGTATCCCGAGTAGCTGGCATTACAGGCATGCGCCATCACACCCAGCTAATTTTTGTATTTTTAGTAGAAACAGGGTTTCACCATGTTGGCCAGACCGGTCTTGAACTCCTGACCTTGTGATCCACCTGCCTTGGCCTCCCAAAGTGCTAGGATTACAGGCATGAGCCACTGTACTGTCTTTTTTTTTGAGACTCACTGCAACCTCCATCTCCTGGAGGTTCAAGCGATTCTCACACTTCAGCCTCCCAAGTAGCTGGGATCACAGGCACGTGCCAACACACCACACCACCATGCCTGGCTAATTTTTGTATTTTTAGTAGCAATGAGGTTTCATGTTGACCAGCTGGTCTTGAACTCCTGACCTCAAGTGGTCTGCCTGCCTCAGCCTCCCAAAGTGTTGGGATTACAAGTGTGAGCTACTGCGCCTGGCTAGACTCAAGGTTCTGATGAAAAACTTCAACTGGAAAAGCTATGTGCCCAAACACAACTGCAATCTTCTATGGCACAAAATCTGTAAAAGCACCCCTGAGACTGAGGTGTGGCTTTACTCTGTGGCACTCTAGTTGCCTGGGGTTGGCTGACTTTCCCTGGGAAGCTGCTCACGCTGCAGTGTGAGAGAGAAGAGGCTGTAAAGAATCAAGGATACCGTCTTTTCGCGAAGGTTGGAAAGAGGGTTTATTTGCTTGCTCATCCAATCTGTCTGGCACTGATATGAAATAATAATGGGTATGGAGGGAGAAGAAAAGTCTCTCCTAAAATGGACAGAGGAATACATAAAACATGCCTCCAACTCAACATTGCTGAAATGTTCAAACAGCTATTCAATATTGCACAAATGTCTATTCAAGTCTTTTGCTTCAGCATTTGTAAGAACAGTACTGGATAGGGCCAGAATAAAGTGCTATTATGGGATGTGTAACTACCTACCCAGTAATATAAAAGTGAAAAATGGAACTGGGGAAACATCATGGTTGATTCCTTCAGAGGAAAGGTGGTTTGGCAACTAGATTCTGAGCCAGGCAGGAAACAGAGCCCTGCAGGATGTGCTCCTGGGGCAGGACAGGAAAAGAAGCCTGAGCTGTGACTGTGGCTGTTGACCTTGCGCTCACACAGGAAGGCTCAGGGCCTCCTTTACACAGCCGGCAACAGCCCGTACTCCTGTAGTTATCTGTGCTCACCACCAGCCAGTGTGTGGTAACTCCTCTCTGGGAGCCGTATTCAGGTGGTGGCACATGCCATGCTTTTCAGATCTCAGCCCCTCCCCTCTGTGTGAGGATGCGTGTATTTATGCATGCTTTTGTTGTGGTAAAGTGCACATAAAATTGACCTTTTAAACCATTCTAATGTATCCAATTCAGGAATATATTGAGTATTCACAATGTCATACAATCAACATTCTCCCTAGTTTCAAGAGACTTTCATAACCCCAAAAGGAAACCCTGTACCCATGAAGCAGGTATTTCATATTCCTCCCCACTCCTGCAGCCCACAACCTGCTTTTCAGCTCTATAGATTGCCATTCTGTAGCTGGGCAAATACCCATATGCCTCTGGATATTTCATAGGAATGGAAATAATACATCTGCCTTTTGTGCCTGGCTTCTTTCACTTAGCATGTTCACCTGTGGTGTAGCATGTATCAGTACTTCATTCCTTTTCATGGTTGGATAATATTCCCATTGTATGAATGTATCACATTTGTTTAACTATTAATCACTTGATGGACGTTTGGGTTATTTTCACTTTTTGGTTACTGTGAATTGTGCTAAAATGAACATGCTTGCACAAGTTTTGTATGGATACCTGTTTTCACTTATGTTGGGTGTGTACCTGAGAGTGCAACTGCTGGGTCATATGGTAATTCTATGTTTAACTTATTGGGGAAAGCCAAACTGTTAATGATGGTGGCTGCACTATTTTATATTCCCACCTTAGTGTATGCTGGTGTCATTTTTTCTACATCCCTGTTAACACCTGTTATTTCCATTGTTTTGATTATAGCCATCCTAATAGGTGAGAAGTGATATCTTACTGTAATTTTGATTTGCATTTCCCTAATGACTAATGATGCTCAGCATGCTTTCATGTGCTTGTTGGTCATTTGTACATCTACTTGGAGAAATATCAATTCACAATGTTCGCCCATTTTTTTTTTTTTTTTTTAAAAAAACAGACTCTCACTATGTTGTCCAGCTCACTGCAACCTCTGCCTCCTGGGCTCAAGTAAATTCCCATCTCAGCCTTCTGAGTACCTGGGAATACAGGCTCACGCCATCATGCCCAGTTAATTTTTAAATTTTTTGCAGAGACCATGTTGTGTAGGCTGATCTTAAACTCCTGGGCTTAAGTTATCTGTTTGACCTTGGCCTCTCATAAGTATTGGGATTACATGTGTGAGGCATTGTGCCTGGCTGTTTGCCTCTTTTCTTTCTTTTTTTTAAGACAGTGTCTTACTCTGTTGTCCAGGCTAGAGTGCGGTGGCGTGATCTTGGATCACTGCAACCTCTGCCTCCCCAATTCGAGTGATTCTCCTGTCTCAGCCTCCCGAGTAGCTGGGATTACACGCAATGGCCAACACGCCCAGCTAATTTTTGTATTTTTAGTAGAGATGGGGTTTTATCATGTTGGTCAGGCTGGTTTCCATCTCCTTACCTTGTGATCTGCCTGCCTTGGCCTCCCAAAGTGCTGGGATTACAGGTGTGGGCCACTATGCCTGGCCATTTTTTTTTTTTTTTTTTTTGGAGATGGAGTCTCACACTGTCACCT